CATTTTTCCTCCAGAACAGATAGTCCATATTCGCGTATGTACTTTGTACAGGGAACAAAGCAGGGTTAGTAGGCGTAGATGATAATGCCCAAACTTGTAATGCAGGTGGACACTCAAAAATTGCATGTGTGATCGTCTCATCTGGTTCCCCACATCGAGGGCAATGGTTGTCACATCTCATATGTCTATAATTTAAGATACTCGTAACTGCCATATGCCCTGATATTATCTGCCACATAAGATGGCAAATCTTCTGGGGGGCCCTGACCTTCCAAGCATGTGCTTGAAGTTTAGTAATATTGGGCTCACGAACTTCTGGCTCCTCTTCCTTACGCAAGATATTTCGTGCTACTCAGTACCCAGATTTAACAGTGTATTGTCCATTCCTCGTATAGCTCCAGCAGAAAGTATCACGTCGATGCATATAACTAATTGCCAAACTCTTGATTAGTGGTATGTCAGCAGCATCGATATAGTCGTGAAGACGACTATCATCCCAGGACTTCGCAGTCTGATCAATCAAATCGCTCACTCGCATATTCGGATGCGTAACCGGAGCTAATGAGATTGCTGGTCTCGCAGGGATGGTAGGAATCCAAGGATCCTCCCACACTTTAACTTCATATCCGGAATGAATCTTTTGTCTAATCCCTTGTAATAACAATTCCCTACCAGCCGAGATACTTGTCCACACATATGATGGGCTACTAGTTTTGATTTGACGCAAAGGCGTACTTAATCTGTAGTACCGGACTCTCATGACTCGAGCTACCAGAGAGTCCGGATTTTGAGCCAATCTCCATAATTGTTTTGCTAGTAACGCAAGATTGAACTCATGAATCATCTTGAAGCCGATTCCACCTTCTTCTCTAGGTAAGCAAAGTTTATCCCATGTTGACCAGTGCATACCCCTTTTTGGCGGATTGGAGCTCCACCAGAACTGTGCAATGGCACTAGCTAGGTTCTCACAAATCTCTAATGGGAGAAGGAAGCAAGACATTACATACGTCGGCAGGGCAAGCAAGATAGACTTTATCATAACTTCTTTTCCACCCTTTGAGAGCCAGCGACCAGTCCATCCATTCACCCTTCCTCTCAACTTGTCCTTAAGGAACACAAAGAGCTTACATTTGGAACCACTTATGTCCTCCGGTATACCTAAATATGATCCCATTCCACCTTCATTCTGAATCCCCAGAGTGTCTTTGATCTCTTGTCTCACATCCAGTCCAATTCTTTTACCAAAGAGTAAAGAAGACTTATCAAAATTAATACATTGTCCAGACGCTTTTCCATACACTTTGACCACTTTCATTACTTCTTCACATTCACGGGGCTCCGCCTTACAGAAAAACAGACTATCATCAGCAAAGAGAAGATGAGATACCGAAGGGCACGCACGCGTGATACCCATCCCCGTTATCTTTCCTTGGTTCTCTGCGTGATTTAGAAGGCTAACGAGCGCTTCCGTGCACAGAATAAAAATGAAAGGAGACAAAGGATCCCCCTGTCTTAGACCTCTTTCCGGAGTAATATTACCTCTCGGACTTCTATTCATGAGGACTTTGTATTTCACTGACGTTACACATCTCATTATCATAGATACCCAGACCTCAGAAAATCCCATCTTCCTCATGGTGGCCTCAATGAAGGACCATTCCATTCGGTCATATGCCTTGCTCATATCCGTTTTTATAGCCATCTTCTTATTTCGCCCACTCGGTTTTGTTCTTAATGCGTGGAATAACTCTTGAGCGATCATAATGTTATCCGATATCTGTCTACCAGCAACAAAGGCTGACTAAGTCTCTGAGATCCTCTCGGGAAGAAACTTTTTTAATCTCTGGCATAAGACCTTAGAGATGATCTTGTAACTAACATTGCATAAACTAATTGGACGAAGCTGGCTCATCTGATTCGGCTTGTCCACCTTTGGTATTAGGCATACATTAGTATCATTTAACCCCGGTGGGACGACGCCATCAAATAGAAATTGATTAACCATACGAGTTAAATCCTCCTTTACAATGTCCCAAAATTTCTGGTAAAATAGCGCCGTCATTCCATCTGGACTTGGGGCTTTCTCTGGGTGCATTGCAAACAACGCCAATTTGACCTCCCATTCAGTAACCGGAGCAGTCAATGCCACATTATCCGCCAGAGAAATTGTCGTCGAAACTTCTGAGAGTGCCTCTTCTGTTGTTTCTGGATTTGATGATTGGAAAATATGTCTAAAGTAATTCGTAGCAATGGCTACCAATCCTTCCTCATCCTCCACAACATTTCCATCTTCATCCAATAATTGAGTGATCATGTTCCTTGCTCTACGCTGCTTCGTAAGGGCGTGGAAGAATTTTGTATTCCTATCCCCTTCTCTCAACCAAAATACCCTACACTTCTGCTTCCAGAACAGTTCCTCTGCCTTAAGGGCATCGGATAACTCCTTAATGGCCGCTCCAATCTCCTCAGTAGTTGCATCATCAGATGATGATAGGCGATCCACCTTTTCCTTAAGCTCCTCTACAGTCTTCTCAGAATTCAGGTTAAGCTGTTTTTTCCACTCGCTCAAAGCTCGCCTACAACTAACAATATGCTCCATTATGCTTGCATCAGGCGGAAGATTCGGTGACTTCCACCCTTCCAGAATAATTTGTCTCAGCTCATCATTATCCAACCATCTCTTGTCAAATTTAAAGATTCTTGCTCTCCTAGGTTTCCTTCTTAGGATATCAGCGAGAATCGGACGATGATCTGATCCCCAGAGTCTCATATACTTGACCTTGGACTGAGGGAATTTCTCATGCCAATCCTCATTTCCCACCGCTCTATCAAAACAACACCTAACTGTCGTTCTTCCAGCTCTATTGCCAACCTAAGATAGCATATTCCCTGTGAAAGGAAATTCGAGCATACCACAATCACTTAACATCTGCTTAAATGGCAGAAAGGAACTATCAGGGCGTTGTCGGCCTCCTTCCTTCTCTGCATGACATGTTATTTCGTTAAAATCCCCTATCATGAACCAAGGTCCATTTCTTGTTGTTGAGAAACGCGTAAGACGTTCCCATACTACATCTCGTCTATCAAGTACAGGATCCCCGTAAACAAATGTCATATAAACTTTTATTCCATCAATGACTGCCTCAATGTCAATCATTCTGTTATTTGAAAAAAGTACATTGACTTGAAAATAATCCATAAAAAATAAAGCTAAACCCCCGCTGAGACCAAGTGGCTCAACGGTAAACAAACGATCAAATCCTAGGTCAGCCTGAATGTCTTGCAACAGCAGCCTCCTATTCTTAGTTTCAGAGAGGAACACAAATCCTGGGCGATGCTTCTGACACATCTCCGTAAGGCGTCGAACTGTGAGGGTATTCCCAAGGCCTCGACAGTTCCAACTTATGTTTATTAACTTGCCTTACTAATATTGATTACTTGCGCAAGTTAAAATCATATCATATGCATATCATTTTATGACAATACACATTTAATATCTTTCCTTAAAGGATTTCATTATTTATTGTAAGAATATTACATTGGCGTTATTAATATGAGAACATTCACTTTATATATATAGAGGTGAATCTAGAGGTCTTAAAACAAAAACCAACTTCTGCAGACGGTGAAACAACTCTTTTTAATTATGCTTGTGAGTTTCTTCTGTTACATGATCTTTGGTTCCTCACAGGGCCGACTTCTTTTGCACCCATTATCGAAAGGGCTATGACGATTGTGGAACAAAATGGAGGGCAGTACCATGTTCTTCTCATCATTGCTGATGGACAGGTAAAAACTAAAGTCTTTGTGTTTTTTTTTGCTACGATCATTATGATGTTAGTTAGGTTTATTAATTAGATTATGTTGTTTGTTAGGTGACACAAAGTTTTGACACACAGAACGGTGGAGTCAGTCCACAAGAACGTAAGACCATTGATGATATCGTTAGAGCAAGGTAAAAACTGTTTCTTGCTTAGATGATGATAATGATTGATTAGTGACTTCTTGTGATGATCTATTAGTAATTTCTCTTGCAGTCGGTATCCATTATCGGTAGTTCTGGTTGGTGTGGGAGATGGTCCTTGGGATAGAATGAGACAGTTTGATGATAACATCCCTGCTTGTGCCTTTGACAACTTCCAGGTAATGCCACTCAAAGACAAATACAAAGATCACTCTTTTGTCTTGGTGCAAGTCATTAACTTACAGTTTCTTTTTTCTTTTGTTTTTTCTTTTCTTTATGGGGAAGAACCTTGATGATGGAAAAAAAGAAGCAGAGTTTGCAGCTTCAGCCTTGATGGAGATCCCTTGTCAGTATAAGGCCACCCTCGAACTCGGCTTACTCGGGTAAATTTCTAGAATTTGATTTAGTTGTAGTAGCTATGCTTTATTTAACAAGGAAACCAAAAATGATATATTGTTATCAAATTTTACAGACGAAGAACTGGAAACTGTCCAAACAAGATTGCTCGTCCACCACCAGTAAGTGGTCACAATCGATCTATTAGCAACAGCTCGATAAGTTCCTGCAGGTCAAGCAGTGTTGCCTCTGCACCGGCTGGTAGTAACGAGAACCAGGTTTGTATTTGTGTCTTTGAGAATTGAGGAAACCATTGTATTATACTAAATAAATCACTTAACCATTGTGTTTTCAATCAAAATTATCAGGTTTGCCCGATCTGTTTGGTTAATGCAAAGAACATGGCATTCAACTGTGGACATCAGACTTGCGACGAGTGTGGAAATAACATTCAAACATGTCCTATTTGCCGTGTCTCTATTGCAGTTCGTTTCAAGCTCTATTAGTAGTGGCTTATTATGTAGAGATATACAGATTTTTTTTTTTTCTTCTCGCATTCTCAATGCTCTACTGGATTGAATTGAGAATGAAGTTATTGGTTTTGCTTAGACCCATATGGGTACCTATGATTTTTCGGATCGATACCGGGTCGGGTCTTGCCGGGTCCGGGTCTATAATTCCAATACCTGTAAAATATCCATAATTTTCGAATCCATATCGGGTCCGAGTATTTAGAATCTAAAAACTACATAACATGTCCAAACTACTCAAATTCAGTCATTATTTTCATATATATCTAAATTTTATAAAATAACTTAAATTAAACTATTAATAATTAAAGAAAACATTTTTAAACTCTAAATTAGTGCATATAGCCCATCTTTTAATACTTTCAATTAGTTAATTTTTTATAATAAATTACACTGGTTGCATAATTTGAATCCCAAGAGTATTTACTTCACGATTTTAAATGTAATTTACCATTTTTGTACTTTGTTATTTTTTTATTAATAACTTACCTTATTTTCATTGCGGATTACTTGCGCAACTTGGTATCATATTTATTGCTTTGTTAAAATAATTTATCTTTAGTTAATTCGGTTTTAATAACTTATCTTATATTGAATACGTATTACTTGGGCAAGTTGATATCATATTTACTGTAGAGTAATTTATGACAATATAATAGTTATCTTAATGTTGTAAGATCACTATTACATATAGCCCATCTTTTAATACTTTCAATTAGTTAATTTTTTTATAATAAATTACACTGGTTGCATAATTTGAATCCCAAGAGTATTTACTTCACGATTTTAAATGTAATTTACCATTTTTGTACTTTGTTATTTTTTTATTAATAACTTACCTTATTTTCATTGCGGATTACTTGCGCAACTTGGTATCATATTTATTGCTTTGTTAAAATAATTTACCTTTAGTTAATTCGGTTTTAATAACTTATCTTATATTGAATACGGATTACTTGGGCAAGTTGATATCATATTTACTGTAGAGTAATTTATGACAATATAATAGTTATCTTAATGTTGTAAGATCGCTATTATTATCCCATATAGCCCATCTTTTAAATATGATCAGTTAGTTAATTTTTTTATAATAAATTACACTGGTTACATAATTTGAATCCCAAGAGTATTTACTTCACCATTTTAAATGTAATTTACCATGTTTATAATTTTTTAATTTTTTATTAATAACTTACCTTATTTTCATTGTGGATTACTTGTGCAACTTGGTATCATATTTATTGTTTTGTTTAAATAATTTACCTTTAGTTAATTTGGTATTAATAACTTACCTATTGATTACGGATTGCTTGGGCAAGTTGATATCATCTTTACTGCAGACCAATTTATGAAAATATAATAGATATCTTAATGTTGTAAGATCACCATTGTTAGCACATATAACCCACCTTTTAAATATTTTCATTTTTCAGTTAGTTAATTTTTTAATAATTAATTACACTGGTTGCATAATTTCAATCCCAATAGTATTTACTTCACGATTTTAAGTGTAATTTACCATGTTTGTAATTTGTTAATTTTTTTATTAATAACTTACCTTATTTTCATTGCGGATTACTTGCGCAACTTGGTATCATATTTATTGATTTGTTTAAATAATACCTTAATT